GTCCCGAACTAGGACGAAACAGCTGTCCAGTACTCCCAGGTTTTCCATTGGTTCTCTAACCAATATCGGCTTAAGATGAAATCCTATAACCAATTATCATTATAATTCAATGTAATAGTAGTTGTTTTTAATCCGTGGCTGACTTTTCTTCTTTGGGTACACCTGATTATTGCCTTATACAACTGAATAAAAGTTGACTCATTTAACTTTTTTTCAAACTATTCAACATCTTCATAACTTTCTCACTCCTTAAGATTTGTTGGATTTGCAGTTTCCCATTTCTTAACGTTGCCTAGTAGAACATCGGGCTTCAAGTTTTGAAGGTTTAGGTAGCTATGGTGTTGGTAGCCTCACACTTAACCTTCCTTTATTTTGGTGGGGAAGCGGGACGGTTACTATACTGGCTAGTAAACTAGTCGAGGTTTGTGAGTGCACCGGCTGGGAATCGAACTTGGACTGCGTGTGTGGCTGGTGAGAGCATTCTACCAATGCGCTATTGATTTCCGAGAGTGAATTAATCCTCTATAAGCTGGTCTGTACTGAAAATAAACGATACTAATAATTACAATAATATTCTAGCGATGTTATCTTTCAGTGCATATATACATTCCACTTTTTTTACACTTCTGCTCTCCCTACTACTTTGACATGACATGTATCTTATAGTATCATTACTGAACTACGTTTGTGTCATACATGTGAGTGTGGTTGAGTATGATAGTTTTGTTCGTAAACATTATATATTACCACAATAGAAGTATTAGCACACTAAAATGTCAAGTTTGATCATGGATTGATGTCAGCTAGAAAACTATTAAAGACCGGGGTGTATTGAACAACTGTTTCGTCGTAGTTTGGGACTCTTCAACAGCACACGCCCATCACTCCAGCTCCTGGGGTTGATTCCAAGACCTTCAAGTTACAAGGCGAACTTGTTGTTGTAACTATTCTGCTTACTATTGACTGATAACAGGATGAAGTTGTCTGGGATCCTAGGGAGTAGTCGTAACTAGTGGACTCCACCAGGTCGGGTTTGAGGACAAATTGGTTAGAAGTGGAGCTGAAAATCACTAATTGACAGAAGTCAAAATTCGTGGAGCGGCCATTTGATACCTTCCTAATAGCTGAATGGTCAACGAAATCGTCTCCTAACCTGAAGGTCCTGGTGTGGTCATTGGCGCGTACTGCTCAAGAGTCCCAAACTGGGATGAAACACTTGTTTAATATTCCTTGGTTTTCAGTAGTTCTCTAACTCAAATCAGTTCATGAATAAACTTTAAACCAATCAAATCCCTATAAACTAATACTTAAACTCTAAAATTTGTCATCTCGAATTCATCCCTTTCACTTGATTCATACACATTAAAGAAAAATTTGTCTGTTTTTCTGTATGTTGTGTGAATGAGCTGAATTCATTGAAGTGTCGTTCTGTGTTTTGTGTGCATGAATGAATTCAGCCTTTCTTTTCACTTTCATTATTCTTTGCCTTACTTTTCACTATCTTATCTTAATTTATACTTAATTCATACCTCTCTATCTATTTGTGTATCATTATGAATTTCAGTTTATTGGTTTCACAATATAAATATATCTGTATATATTTCTATTAAGATCGTGTCATTCCGATGTTGGTATTAAAACAGGAATAGTTGGTGTTGTATGGTAGGTTGTCGACTTAAACATGATTGATTCTTCTTCGTCTTTTTCGAAAAATAATAGTGCCAATGATCATTTGTGGAACAGCAGTATTACTAATACTAATAGTAGAACTGATAAAAGCATTACAACAAGTATTATAAGAGAAATATCCCAATGGAAAACAGTGAAAGTGGAACTGTCAGGTCAATCTGATTATAAAGTATGTATTGTTGTACAATAATTGTGGGTTTGTTTTTTTGTATTCTCCTCTTTTGTCTTGTGAATAATTCATATAAATTCATTTACAATAAGTCGGAACGTCGTATCCTGAGAATACCTTGTGATATAGTTATTATGAGTGAGAAGTTGTGCTCCGAATGTCATTCAGTCAAATAATATTGTATCACTGTGTGTGTGTGTGCGTGCACGCGCGCGTTAAATCCAATAAATGTATCTTACGTGAAATCATATTGTCTATCACAGTGCCTGAATTGTACTCATAAATTAAAAAAGGTATCCCTCTCAACTTAATTATAGTCGTAAGCCTTCTCAAACAATCTGTTATAATGGACCTATGTAACTGAAATTACTCGTATCATTGTTTAATATTAGGTTTTTCGGAAAATTTGCTTAGATATGGTCAAAGCACCGACATAGGTGCTTACTAAAATATACTATGACGATAGCCATCCACCGCATTCTTAAAAGTATGTCCACCCTTTTTCCATGATTAGAACGTATCTTGGTAATCCTTATCCGACAGTATTATTATTATTATTATTATCTTCCTTACTTTTAAATCCACTGCATAACTTTGCTTAGTTTATTTGCCCCTTCCGTTTGACATTCTTCATTTTTATGTATAAATTGAAATGACAAATCGATGTGTGATTGATTAGATTGTTCGAAATAGATTGTACAGATTAATCATTATATTTTACGGATAAACTACTTTTTTTCTTTTAAACAATGCCTAACTTAATGCCTTGAGACTAAGATATGGGTTATAAAGTATGTAAACGTAATCTCTTATTCTAACTGAAACACTGTATTTTATTTTTATATTATTCATTGCATTCTGTCAGTGAAGCATAGTGCTTCAATCTTTAAAGTTTCAGTAGCAAGGGTTTTGTTTTTATGACGTGGGGAAGTTGCAAGTCATATGCCCAACCTTCTCTTTTTTCAGGCTTATTGCTCGGGTAAGTTAATTAGGCGAGGTTTAAGAATGTGTTGACGGGGAATTGAAACTATACCTCCTGTGTGGCTGACTGGCAAGCGTGCTACCACTGACCCATCTACGCCTATTGTATCCTATAACCCATCGTAAATTTTGCTTCATTAATGACTTGATGCTATAAAGTTTTATTGTAGATGTTTGCGTATTTGAGTATTATATGGATTACTTAGGATACTCGCCAGCCATGCAGGTGGTCCGGGGTTCGATCCCCGGCCGATGCACTGCTTTACTTCGCTAAGCCAGTAATAAGACTGGTAAAGAGGGAAGGTTGGGCATGAGGCTAGTAACCCCATCCCGTAAAAATAAACACCACTGCTACCGAAACTTCAAAGCTCTATGTTCCACCGGGAATGTACAGGAATATAATAAGTAATAAATGGAAATATGTTTTAGATTAGGCGAAAGCTATAGATACTTGGATACTTCAGTCCTTATCTAAAGTCTGATTTCTGTCTTACTGGAATTGAGAAATTACTGTGTTAGTAGTACCTGGATATGCCTTTTTCTGTCACTGTAATTTTGCACATTCTCAGTTTGTGTATGTGTGTGTTTGTTATATGTACGGTCTCATTGAGGGAATGTGATATTAAAAGTTGTAGTTGTATACCACCCATATTAACCAGTGATGCCTGCTACCCAGCCAGATCGAAGCGGTGTAAACACCGAACAGCCGTTTCTGTCGTGTTTGGAGCTGAGCTCATAACTGGGGTGAATCCAGCTTGACTCAACCCAGACAGCCAAATCAGTTCTCAAATCACCCTATTTCTGGCCAGCTGCTTCAACTCAACTGGTGGTCAGCAGTGATTTGGTGCTCTGAGCTAAATCAAACCGGGTACACTACTGATGAGCTCGGCACCAAACGGGCGAAACGGCCCTCCAGCGTTTAAATCACCTCGATTTGGCTAGCAAGTATTACTGGTTCGTGTGATTGGTATCCAACTACTCATCTCAATCAATCAGTAGTATATACTTTCATGCAAAAATGCTTACTTTCTTGAATACCTCTAATATTACCAAGCAGATCACATACTGTTATCTGAATAATTTGGTTTCAAAAGGAAACTATAGTAAAGCTTTATCCATTGAACTGTGTAAACTGCAAATTGTGATTGTTTTATTTCTTTCTCGTTTGATTTGTTGGCTTTTTTGTATACAATTAGGTCAATTAAACGGGGTAGATGTCAATCATTGTATCACATGACATATATATTTCATTTATTTTTATTTCTGAAATGACTGTAATAAATAATTTTGTCCCACACGCTCATATGCAAACGTATGTACATATAAACCGACATAAAATATTAGCAATAAATTATTATGTAATCGGGTTTCTGATGCAGTTTTTTAACTTTTAAGTTTATTATCCACTACTACATGATTACAGAAATTAAACACATGCTAATTGGTTGAAGGCAGTTCGAGAAGAAGCCGTAAGCCTAGGTTTCACGCTCGCTAGCAAGGCGTGTCTGCCACTTTGAAAGGAAGTGATGCTCCCTCCGACATTTGTACTCACATAATCCAGTACAAAACTTTGATCCACAGCTCTTTACCGATAATTGCCAACCAGGTATTCAGAGTGTGCCACGTTGTCGAGTCACCTAGCATTGATGACAGCATTGCAAGTTGGCTGCACCAATACCAAAGATTAGACACATGACACATGGTTAAACCCTAGTTACTAGTCAGTGTAATTTAAAGTATCGTTGAAATGTAGTGGTGGTCAGAAATGATCCATGACGAGGATACACATGATGAATAAGATGTGTATATGTGTGTGTGTACGTGTAGCGACGTGAACTTAAGCTACATCAGTTCAGTTTGTCCAGAACAGAACAGATGATCAGAAAAATAAGCAATTAACAAGCTTAAATGTATGAGGATAGACGGTAATAAAACGAATATTGTCGGAAATATTTAATAATATTAATAGCATAAAAGGAACACGGTTTTTTCACTAATATAAATGACTATACGTTGTTACCAAGATCTTAAAGGTCAGCCACGCATTACTACGTGAATAAAAATCATCAGTCAAGAGCTTCTTAGACTGATGTCTTCCTACGATCTAACTGCCTCTGTTGCTTCAGCTAATGTAACTCTTCCTATAAGTTAGTAATCCAGCATGCGTATCATATATATTCAATATAAAGCTGATATATCCAGGTTACTTTTCTTTTATGTAACCTATCACATATATGTTACATTATTAAACACTACTAAATATTTAGTTTTCTACCATACTTGTGTATGATGATCAATGGGTTGGAATTTCTCTGCCTCATATCAATTTTATGGTGTGCATTGATGATGGTTACATAGGCTGATTTCACACCCATCTATCTAACTAAAATACTGATAATTTTGTTATACTACATGAGTGCACATTAGATCACTTAAAATTCCATAGATTGATCCAATTCTCAGCTTAACACATTAAGTTTCTTTTCCTTGTGAAGACTGTTTCTTACATCTTCTTCTAAGATGCTCAAATTGAGTGAAGTGTGGTGCTTATTTAGTAGTTTGAAATGGATGTTTGTAGTGAGTGGATGCTTGAATATTCTCAACATTCTACTTGTTCTATACTTCTTCCTTTACTACCTACCTAGTTATTATCCTTTCTTGATATTGTCTTAATATCCAGTAAAAACAAAGATTTTTTTTGAAACTTTCACAGAGCATGCCGTAGTCAAACACAGGATGTTCAAGCTCTTAGTGTCTGGTAAGGTATTATGTCATGCGATATCTGATAAATCTAAACACACTTTACTTTCAGTTCATCAGATGTTCTATGGCGAAGTAATATCAGTAATATGGATAATTTAGGTAAAGATAAATGGTATCAAGTGTTTGTAAACTTGAATACAAATCCGAAAACAACAACAGCAACTACTCCAGATCAAGGTATGCCAATTAATTTGGCAGATTTCAAGGTTAGTTAGTTAGTTTCTGGTTCACGGTTATGATGTATCTGTCTTAAGCGTGATTTAAGTTTTGAGGATTTTTAAAATCTGACTTTTCAAATACTTACGGGTTTCAATCTGTTTTATTTCCGTCTCATTCCGCGTTACGAGGGCTTTTTTCCCATCGAGTCATATCATATAGGAATTCCCTAGACTGTATGTTATACAATCTTGTGGATATACACAAGAGTATGCCTTTTATGTTATTATTCCTTGGAGAGGAGGGCATGTGTTATATTATTTGTAGATAACATATTTTAGAATTTAATTGGTGGATGGTGGCTAGCAGTGGAATCCAAAACCCGCATTTCGTCCTATTTAGGACTCGTCATCTGGATGTACCTGCATTCCCCAGTGAGTGATGATGTTCCCACCGAGACTCGAACCTATGCCACAGTTTCAAACGCCAAAGCGTTATCCACTAGACCACTTCGGCCAGTTGACGAGTCCCAAATAGGACGAAATGCGCATCCTGGATTCCACTGCTAGTCATCATCCACCAATTAAATTCTAATTACATGCCCAGACATCGTCGAAGCATCTGCACAAGAAGTCGACATGTCAACCTGAGACCGATCACTTCGGTCCAATCAATCGACGGGAAAATCTAAAATTCAATTAGATAATATGTTTTAGCTTACAACGCATTCTCATTTTTTTGCAACCAAGTATATTGCAAGATACACTGTTATTATGAAGTGAATATCACTTTCAAAATGTATACATTACAAGAATACACTAGTTTAGTGATATTGGCAAGAAGTAATTGACAGTAACGAGCGATAATAAAGATGAAGAGTAGATATTAGATGATTGAAGGCAATCAGCAGGAAGCCTTGGGCCTAGATTTCGCGCTACTTGGCACTCGTAAGCAAGGCGAAGAAACTCATCTCCCTTCTGAGATTCGAACCCGCGTCACCCGGTGCTGCCTGCAGTCAGAGACGTTACCACCACTGAGCTATTCGGGCTCGTGATTGACCTTTTGTAGGACTATGGATACTTTGATTGGACACTAGTAATAACTAGTATAATTTGTCTAGTCTTTTTTTTGGTGCAGACTGAATTCTATCAGTCAAGTTTGCAACGTGGCCAGCTTTCTAGGTGGCTCGCCATCACGGTGCACCTTGAATTGTTGGTATATGATGGTTGCAGGCGTGAATTCCCTCAAAGATGCAAACAGGTCTTTCCGACTGGTGAGTGCCAACTAATATAAAACCTAGGTCCAAGGCTTCCTGCTGATTGCCTCCAACCATATAATATCAAAAATTTAAAGTGCATCGTGATATAAAGAGACCTAGAATAGTGCCCACATTGCAAACCTGATTGATAGAATTCAGTCTGCCCCAAACAAAGAACTAGACATATCAAACTAGTTACTCTAGTGTCCAACCAAAGGATGAAGAGCAGTGTTGGTAGTAGAATGCTCTGACAGTTTTAGGTTTTATTCATTCCTTTCGCGTTCCAAGTAAGCCATAGGGCTTAAAGTTCTAAAGTTTCAGTTGTAGTGGTTTTTTGTTCACGGAATACGACTGCTAAAAATACGCCCCACATTTCCTCTTTTCTCAACTTATTATCGACTAGTGGCTTAGTCGAGGCTGAAGACTGCATCGTCCGATAATCGAACTCGTAACATGTGCTTGGTTGGTGAGGATTTTACTACTGAACCACTGCTGCTGGATGTAGTCTCTCTCGAACTTCCCAATCTTCAAAATGAATTAGATGTTTTTGTAACAGTAGTTTTGCCCATGAAAGTTAAGAATATCTTTTTCTTCAGTTTTTATGAAAGTTTTGTTTTTTTGTACGAAAATCAAATGAACCTTCATTTCTGTTTTGGTGTATAGTTTTCGGGTTATATTGTAGTTTTATTGGATTGCTTTTAGTGAATATAATGTAGATTAGCATAAGTGTTATCTTTTAATAAAATTGTTAGAAATTCTCCGGTCATAATTAATCCAACCCCCTTCTTCTTTATACAGTTAGCTCCTCTAAAGTGTGAAAGGCTTTTTTTTCATCAGTGGAGTTGTAGTCGTCTATACTTTTGTGACATGTCTAATGTAACCATTTGGACAGAAATACGCATACATTGGCTAAACTACTCTATCAGATTATAAGGTCTATATTTTTTATCCTTCTAATTCCTTATTCATCTCTGACCATTCCTTTTCGATATTAGATATTATGTCTGATTGCATATTGGATTCATATGCTATACACTACACATAATTCTTATATATATATATATATATATATTTAACGAAAACGAAAATCTACTAACTCTCTGTGCTTTTTGTTAAAGCTCAACTATCAGGAACAGATTTTTCATATACCAGCAGACTAAGAGCCACATTTATCTTGTGAGGGCTGATGACACTACTCAATTGCTCAGGTTGATATAGGTGAGGCGGAGGTGAACCCTGTGACCCGTCGGCTGAAAAAAACAAATGGTTAAGTATGAAATGAGCCTCATCTGCAATTAACCACCCGCGTTTCAAGGGTGGAATGATTTTTATAAAAATTATCCTTATTTCATGAAAAGAGTGCAAATAAATTTTCTCATCTTATAAACATGATTGTTGTAAAAAGCTTTTTTTGATACTGATAAAAAGGTAGTATTCATTTCGGTGATGAAACTGCTTTTTCTTTAATAAATTTACTTTTTTTTAAGCTTCTGACAACCGTTAGATTGCCTTGCATGCGTATTCTTTTTGATCAATTCAACTACTTAATCGGATTATTCTACGTATGTCATTAAGGCTCATGATTACTATTAAGTTAGGGAGAAAAAAGTTCTTTTTCAATGATGGTGCTGAAATGGAGACGTGTTAAAATACATGCTGTTTGGTCTCTAAACGTTTCGTCTTGTGTCATAACCTTTGGTGAACTTTACCTGTCGTTACTCTCAGTTCAATACTGTGACTAATCTTCTTATAACAAACTTTTAATGTGAAGTAAAATTTATAAAAAATGGAAGTATTATATATCGTGAATTGACAACAATTAGTATTGACAAATATTTGCCCCTAAATCAATTCTTACAGGATTATACTTGTCTGAAAGGAATGTATCATGAATTGGAAGAAGTTAGAATTGATATGCCAGTGGTTTGCGTCCTACTGGCGAGTAGTTCACCTTGTAACTTAAGGGTCCTAGGTTCGATCCCTGACAATGGCTTCATGAGTGAGTACTTCTGAAGAGTCTTAAACAATGGTTTTCTAACTGATGTCAGCTCATAATCAGTTTTGTAATATTTTTTATTTTTTTAACTATATTTAGGAGTAATGTTTTTTTGATTATGTCAAACCGGTCTTCATAATAATAATATCCTGTGTTTGCAAACGGTTTTCCCAGGGGAATGTGTCACTTTGATTATATGCTTTGAAGATTTGTTTGTTAGGAGCTGCATATATTTCGTTCAGTACATTGCTTTTCTAAAACATTCTTATCTAACTCAAGCTGACATTTTTACCTCATTTTCCTCGGTTATTTTATGGTTTGTTGGTCAAAACATTCGGTTCTTCATTGTGTATGTGTGTGTGTGTTTAAATCTAGTAACTAGTGTGACGTGTCTAGTCCTCTCTTTGGTGTAGACTGAATTCTATCAGTCAGGTTTACAATGTGGCCACCATTCTAGATAGCTCGCAACAGCACATTATAAAGTAGTAGGCCAATTGCAGGAAGCTTGAACCTTGTTTCGTGCTAGTTGGCATGCCAGTCAGCAAGGCGTATCTGCAACCCTGAAGGAACTCTTGTCCCTTCTGAGATTCGAACCCGCGTCACCCAGTGCTGCCTGCAGTCAGAGACGTTACCACCACTGGGCTATTCGGGCTCGCGATTGACCTCCTGTAGGACTGTAGTGGGTATTTTCATTGAACACGAGTAACTAGTGTGAGTGTCTAATCCTTCTTTGGTGCAGATGATTCTTTCAGTCTATCAGTTGTCTTCTTTATTATTAGTTGGGAAATATGCTGTATTGGTTTAAGAACTCGGTTTTTCAGGTGATGCGTTGTTGATTCGAGCCCTGCTTCGAGTACTTCACCTTCGGCCTAATCAACTGGGTATTATCATCAGCCGTCACACGATAGCCATGGTTGTCCTAGTCTGGTACATAAAAGATTTGTTCCTGGGTAACTCAGCTTATCTTCATTACTAACATCTGCTACACAGATGTTCGTATTCAAATGACACTAGGTGAATAGGTGTGGCATATACCTTACAGACAACGGTTTCGACTACCCGTGTGTTCTTTTATTTCAATGAAATGTATGGCTGTATTTGTGTTTTTGTTTGTTTGAAAATTAAATATCCTCCTTTAGCCATCGTCTTCTGTTTCTTTTCCTTACTCACTTCTTTCCTTTCTTCTTCGTACTCATCATGTGTATCACTAAGGTTATTCTTGTTGTGTTTAGGATTAACTGTAATGAGCTTTTTTGATTTCCACCCTTAGATCATGTACTCAAGTTAGACGTGAACATTCTCGTGGATCAACAGTTATGTGGTAGGCTTATATTATGCATCAGTTTGATTTTTTCTTCTAAGTGAAAATGAAGATCTTTGGAGTTCCACAACTAGTCAAATGTCTATTCATCATAAAGAAAATAAATGGCAGTTAATTCGAGTAAATTTAAGCCATCAGATGAATTCATCTGATTATAAGGTATTTGACTTATACATTATTTATTTATTATTATGTATAATTCTTTTGGTTGGTAAACTGATTTACACATACAACAATAATTATATTCATAATACAAAGTCATGTAAAACGTCTGTTGCTGGCGTACTGTAATCAGAGACCTAGTGAACAGCCTTTGTATTAACTGAAATAAAAGAAATCGTTTGTTTCTGAATACCTTTCCTTATTGTCATGTTTTTTGGTGGATAAGTTATTCTAAATGTCATCAGTTCATGCTTAGGTGTGAGCAATAGGTGAGCAATATTGAGGTTAGGCATCGGTCGAGTGCTAGGTAAGGAGGGGAAATCAGTCGACGAGACTGTGAAATTACATCGACTGAAATGGTTAGGACATGTGCTACGTATGCCTAGTCATCGCCTTCCTCGACAAAGGGCAATGTTAGCTGACATAGGGTCAGGCTGGAAAAGAGCTAGCGGTGGTCAAACCAAAACATGGCTTCATCAGTCAATGAAATCCACAACAGTTAGTTTAAGCCTCGTAGGAAGGTGTAGACTTCCTGGTTGGGGTCCTCGGGACGGTAAAAACCAATGGTTGGAAACAATTGGTGACATGGCTCAAAATCGTTCTCAGTGGCGCAGATGCATCCACTCCTTGTGACTTATGATTTCCAATGAAACTATATTGTTCTTCGTTATTACTATTTCTTTATCTCACACCTCTGTTTACTGTCTATATTATGCATTTCTCCTACTCTCTTCTCTTGCTTTGTGTGCTACATGGAGTGTGGCGACTTGAACTGCCGCACATCTGTGCAAAGTTCTATGTCGAAAACCGACCGCTTAGCACTAATCAACAGTATCAGAGAACTAACTAGTGGTTTTATAATATAACTTATTTGTTAACGATAGTCAGTAAAAGTACATTTAAAGAATTGTAATTTTAGATGTCAATCACTTAGAGCATTTATCGTTTCACCTCACTTAATCTTTTAACCTTCCTCATCGATCGCCTCTCTACTTAACACTGTTTTGATGACTTTTCTCCACAAAGTATATAGCTTCAATCAGCTGTTTCAGGGTATATATGTATATATATTCTGTGATTTATTGATTATTTTGGACCAAAGTGCTCGGTCTCTGTTGACAATGCCTACACTTCGACGATGTATGAGGTTTGATATGAAGTTATTTTGGTTGATTGTGACTTTCAGTGAAATCCACAATATACTTTGGCGTTTGAAACAATTGGCAGTGGGTTCGAGTCTCAGTGGTGACGCTATCACCCACTGAGAATGTAGGCAACTCCAGCTGGTGAGACCTAAGTAGATCGACATGTGGATCCTCGATTCCACTACTGGTCACCATCAACCAATATATATATGTATATATATTCTCTTTCTCATGAGGTCACTTTAGTTTCCGAAGGAATCTATCTATCTTTCTCAAGACCCTCACATTTTGCTTCACGCAGTAGTATGAACATTTTGTATAATAATTGCATAATAATTGTTTTTGAGAATTCTGCGAACATTTTTTTTATGGAATACAAAGCAAAATGAAGCTTCACAATTTACTGTCTATCTTTTGACCTTTAAATTTGTCCTCATATGTTACCTGATATTATAGGTCATTTGTTGTTTGTGATAACCTTACACAGTTCAATTTTATAAGGACATGTATAAAGATAACTCAGTGTTTTGATCTATTTTGCTCACTATTTTGGAATAGTTGCCAACTGAGTTGGATGAATCAATCTACTCAATAGTATGTAGCTATTTAGACATGACATCCTGTTCTGATGAGTTTCAGCTGGGACGAAACGTGCGTTTTGAGTTCTACTGCTAATTATTAGCTTCGGTGGATGCTTTTGATATGGTTTTGTTCTCTAATTCAGGTGGTTTAATTGCCGAATTCACTTCACATCGAAATAAACGCTGACAATATTGTCTAGAATGACAATGAAAGATTTGCAGTTAAACTACCCACTTCAGAGAACATATTCACATCAAATAACAGCATCTTAACCTTAAGACTTGGTCAATGGTTTTTTGCGGTTATGATGAACCTCACTGCACCTTTTTTAAAAATATACATGCATACGTCCAAAACTGGATGTATAGTATTTTGATTTCCTCTTATTTCTTCCATGGGATAAATGTGCATCGAATATTTGCCAATCATATCACAAATAATAACCACACACTTTCATGTACCTTGTTTTTATGTCCATTTGTAAGCTTCAATATTATTCCCTTATCTGTTTGTTTATCTGTACTTCACATCATTAGAACACATTGTGTGCCTCTATGTGTGTGGGATAAATTATAGATTCATGAGTTTGATGATTCATGTATATAATATGGTTGTTATTATTATTATTACTATTATTATTTGTTTTCATACTATAGCCCCTTTACTATTCGGTTACTTTACTGATAATGCCCCCCCACCCCACCCCCACCAAAATACACCTGTTTGAATGAGCTCGACACTAGGAGGATAGAAGTAAAAACGAAGCATCACTGATGCCAATCGCCATATGCACTAGTATAAAATCATAAAAATGCAGTTTTTTTATGTGTACCTCTGATGTCTGCTGCCTAGATATGACCATAAAAACAACATTTACTGTCAGACTTGTTCATTAAAACCGGTAAATTTAGGGGTATGCTTTAACGTGGATATTTAATCTTAAAATTAAAGTCCAACTTACTTAGTTATGTGGTGACAGTTGAAGCTTGTAATGAGAATAGGATTGGACTAATGTCTACAGGCTGAAGAGAAAAAAGAAATGATATTGTCAATGATTCAATTGTTTTTTGTGAATTGTGAATTGAAGATGTAACTGGTTGCACTGAACAGAAGAATTCTAACCAATGAGTTTCAGCTTCTTATCCCACTCTACTTATTTGAGCCATAACACAGTAGCCATGACTCATAGCGAAGCGTCAGGCATTTTTTTTTATTTTATTGAAACACAAACTTGTTACAATATGAGTACCAAAGGATGCCCTCCCCCACAAAACCTCATATTTTGCGCGAGGGCTGAGATACAACATGATCACCCAAGCCTAAGCAAGTGGTTAACCTTGACTTGAAGTTTGATCCACATGGCAGTAGAATAGCCACAAGAGCTGCATTTCCTTGGTTGAAAATGACTAAAACACGTTCGTACGCCATTTGATCCTTTCGGATTCTGGATTCCAAGTACACCATAAGACTAAAATCAGGGTTTTCCACCAATCGGGTTATAAGCACCAAGCGTTCACATTTGCCTCTTCACTTTTGTGAAGAACACCTATACTGCCCGAAGGCAGTGAACACGTGACCACACGGGAGTATGTCGAGAGAAAGGCCGAAGTTCACCCACCCTCAGCCGTACACAGTCGACTGTGTGGGCTGGTAACGAGTAGCTGAATCCTAATTAGGTAACATAAAGAATGTAGTTACCTTTTTGTAGAATTGTTCTGAATACTTTATCACAATTTTGATTTGTATCCCTTCATTAAACAGAAGATTAAAAGTCATTTTTATTACCAGCATTTCTACGTTCCGATATGCAATGGGCACACACATATATATTTTAGTTACTTTTGTGTTTACTTATGATGCTTATCTGATTGCATTTTTACAGTAGCTTTAGGATATGCATAAAAATGTATTTGATTGAAAATAATTTCGACATCATTTTAACTTCTACTAAAAATCTACTCTGTGGTGACAACCCATGCATACTTTCTCCTCTTGCTTTGTGTACTACATGGAGCATGGTGACTCGAAGTGTTTCACATCCGTGCAAAGTTCTACATTGAAACCAGTCAGTCATGCTGTTGTTTATGTGCATGAAAATCTGTTAATCAATGGTTTTATTGTCAACAGGTTATAAATTGAGATATGACGACCACTTATTGCTCCTTTATTTCAAACACGTATGAATTATTTTCCTTCATCTAATTGACTATGAAATAAACCATAATGCGTAAGTAGTTTCTCCGCATAGATTGATTTTTCTTTACCACTGAGTTGATAAGTAGTTATCGAGCAATGTAGAATTGGTTGATGTAATAGTTAGAGCTGATAATGCGATCTTTAAATGGATTGAGTATTGACTACATAATGCATATTTCCTACATTTGTTCAATGCCTGAAGTATGCTTGTAATTGTCTGCTGAGTCATTGTTTGTTTATACTTATCTTACCTACTTCTTTTTCCTCTCTTTATGACTACCTTCTTTGAAAATAAATAATATTTTCTATAAAATTAACTTATTTTTACTCAACAATTGTTTTAATCCCTCTTTTCTACCAAAAACTTTTTGTAGCTCTTGTGTTTCTGTAGAACGTGGATTAGCGGATAATTTTGTTGTTGCTTGGTATGTTATGTGTGCATTATGATATGTTATCCAACGTAAATTGTTTCAGTGAAAATAAAAGATTATGGAGATCAAATTTAATTGACGGTAGTTCGAATTCCGAATGGCAAATAGTATATGTGCAGTTAAATAGTTCATTAAATTCAGACTATAAGGTGCGTTATTATGTAGTTTAATTTTCTGTTGTACACTTGAACTACTCTAATAGTATTCAGTAGTATAATGTGGTAATTTTCAAATTCAAACGTAAGGTCTGAGTAAAACTGATGTTATTGAATGCCTATTGATATGCTGTTCCTTAACTTTGAAATTCACGTCTGAAGGAACTCATTGTAGTTATAAGACTATGCTACAGCTGAGTGCAATTCGTTAATTAGAAGGCCTCAAATGTTCGTAGTGAATCTAACTAACATGTTTTGAAAGTCGTCTCAGTTTGAACAAATGACACTAAAATTCCACTGTTCATGGCATCATTCCGGTTATAGTTGTTATCCTTTAACATATATATAATGTTTTAGCGGGTATTTGGAACTAAAATAGAATATTGATCTAATATCCGATGTATGGTCATAATTCACTTTGCACTTCTGTAGTTAGCACTTTCAATTTTGTGAACGAAGATCTCGTTCATCCTACCTACAGCCTAATATTTTTATAAAAATACTTATAATCTATTTCTGTTCTGTCGAAAAAAGAAGCCCTGGCAATGCAGAAGGAAAAAGCTTAAAGTGTGTTTACAGGAATCCGTTTGTCTGATACCTGGTACCACTCTGGTGTCAAACGTTTTCTTTTGACTTGTATAACAGTTTGGCGTGTAATCTGAATACATTCCTTTACTTTTCTTCTTCTTATTTACTTTCAAACGTTCGAACCCCCTTACTCTTATGAACAATACTCCTGTTCCCATATTGAGTAGTTTTCATTTCTGAGCGATAGTCATCACTAAATGTTTTGTTAGATTACATAAGATTACTTCACTAAGTTTTGTAATTTATTCATTTCACTAACTCAAACCTTACCAACTGATACTAACTACTGACGTTAATCGGCATTTTCTTGACCTTCTAGAACAGTATATAAATGTTTTTTTTTCGCTTTCTTTTTCATTAATTAGTTAGACTCATAATAGAAAATTTTTTTTAGCGTTTTATTTACTCAGCTGCAAACTTGTATAATGTTTTTTGACTATTCATCTGTTATACTGTAGAATTCGATAATTGAAATCAACTTGTAGTACGTTTAGCAATCGCCAGTAAACCTCTCCTCTTTAATTGTTATTATTAGATTCTTTGTAATCTTTGCGTTTTGTGTCCACTTATTCCTGAATTGACGTTTTAGTCTTTTCATTATATTTTCTTGTTGAATTCTATGGTACACGTGATTGTGTTTAGTTAGGCATATAAATATTGTTTTTCATGAGTTCATTGTACATACACACGTTCTCCATAGACGTGTGTCGAAATGGTTGGTTAGTGGTCAGTTTTTGAGCTGACGTGTTGTTTTGTCATTGTTTTTGCACTACGTTTAGCCCAATAGTAACAATATTTTTATTGTTTATTACAAACTATACTACATATGAATTTCCTGTCAAAATAGTTTTGCATTTGCTTGTTTAAGTAATAGTAGCCGACAGTTTTAATTAGAATGAGTAGTTTTATTGCTATATAACCATTTATTTTCTAAAATAATATTCTGTATCAACTCATGATGGTTGATTGATGTGAATAATAAAATGGTTGCTAACCAAAACGAAGTGATAGAAACACCAGATTGCCGTTCTGCTCCTTTGCAGCCGAGCTTATTATCAGTGTACTCGGTTTCGACTCAGCCTAGAGGGAGGGTCCAATGAGTTCAGACCACTTGATAATCTGACTGATAATACCACTGATGAAATTCGGAATTTACGAATTACGTTGCAATTTACACAGTTTCAGATGAAAGTTCACTGCAGTTTCCAGAAATCGGCTAGTTCAAACTGGTTGAACCGCTGATCAGCTTGACCTCAAACTGACAAAAGAGGCGTCCGGTGTTTGGATCACTTTGATCTGTCTAGCAACCACAACTGGTCTATGCGAGTGGCATACAACTAATCAGTAGTATATACTTTCACGTACTGATAAAGGTTGGGAGCTGCAGAACGTTCGATCCTCGGTGACTAGCTGCTAGTATGTAGGGCCTCATAACCTGATGATATTCCAACCAAATTACTGAATGTGTATGGGTGATAGGTTCCTAATTAGAATCGCAATGTTACTCCCTGGCTTTTATTTGTTTCCTAGACAGTATAGGTGCATTCCTCAGCCATTAATATAAAACGTAATATCACTCCTGTATGCTTGAGTTTGGTATCAGATTTGATCATATTATCCTTATTGTTTTTTCTTTGATCGTATTACCGAATATGTTGAGATCTCTATAATTTTTTATGGTCATATCTGATGTTTGATGAAACGTTTTTGAGGAAGTCATTTTACTTGATTTCATTAAGTTTATTCTGGTTATGATAAGTGGAAAATTATTAGTATTTTTTATGTTACTACTTCAACTGTTGTTGGTAATAATTACTATTACAAATACTATGCACTCTCGAAACATTTTGCTTCATTTCCCCGAGTGATATGTTAATGTTTCTCACTCAATATTAAGTTTTGTTTAAACTCATGACAGGCCTGTTACTCAACGACGAATTAATGAATAGGGGATTTTAACGTGTCTTCACTTATTGATATCTGTACTGTTAGGCAGTAGCACTACTAATTCCTTCTTACACACTATAAATATGACTTTTTCTCTAGTATGTGTAATTCTGACATTATCGTTGATTAACTTTGCATGTTTGAGTGTATGATTTTAATAAGCTTCTCTTTACTTCCCTTTACTGTGCTTTCCCTCTCCATACACTTTCATCTTCTACGACTTTTATATTATATATATATATATATATATACCAAATAAAATCTTTTCACACAACCATAAACTGTCACAATTTATTATGTATATTTAGCTCTTGCCGAAGTGATTTGGATCCTAAAACTGGTCTACCTTCGGTTATCTGGTAGGTAAATTCTACTATAGACATATGCTAACTGAAATTTTCTTTATCAGTGCTAATGAACAGCTATGGTCTACCACACGTGATTCTGTAATTGTCGCTGTTGGTCAGTGGGAAAATGTTAAGCTTGATTTAACTCAATCAAATCATCCCACAGATTATAAGGTAGGAAGACTTTTGAAGATTATAATATGATTATCATTTGGTTCGATTCTGACAACGTCTTTTAGTTTTTAAGTAGTATGTTGACATCTGACTAAAAAACGTTTGTTTGTTGAGTATGTTGTGGAGGTGTTCATTCATCTTCCTTCAATCTTAACACTCTGTATTCTTTTATCTTATCTTTATCTTCATCTTGTCTCCAGTAGCTTGTGGTGTTTTTTTTCGGTAGTTGTGTATAAAACGTTTCTTATTGATGACAAAACTTTCTTAATTTTTACACAGATCATGTACTGAGATCAAACGTGGACCATCAGGTGGATCGGCAGTCACTTGGTAGGGTTGATTCTCATTCGTCCTGAATATACATCTATCTTTTTTTCTCTCTCTAATCGCTTAGTGAGAATCAAGGTCTTTGGACATCTGTGAATATTTCACCACTTTATAATAATAAATGGCAAACTGTACGAGTAAATCTAGATAGTGATGGGGAGAAATTTGATTACAAGGTAGTTGTTTGAACAATTTTCATGTACATAGATCCCTTCTTTTTCTGTCACCTTATTAAATAACTACGATGAATTGTATACTCTAGTGAATGATGAACTTGGCATAACTCTGTTTCAGTTTACTATATAACCTGTTTGGTTATCATTATCATGGATCTTAGACATATTTTAACCAGTCCTTTAGAGGTTTGATCAAAAGATGAAATCAGTTAGACGACTATTGGAAAGAAATAGAATATACTGAATAGTCTACAAGCTTTCCTGTCAGCTGGAAGGTCTTGGGTTCGAACCCCGGTGGGTGCGTATTTCTGAAGAGTCGCAAACTGGGATGAAACAGTTCTCTGATTTTCCAGTGGTCTCTAACTTACATCAGCTCTCGATCAAGTGTGTAACTCATCAAATCTGTGCGAACGAACTCCTGATATCCAGTCTTCTGTCGAGAAATGGTGTAATTATGTAAAAATGTGCCGCTTTGTTGGTGAATATCAGAGTAAACAAGAGTTTTATAATTTGTTTTATTTTTAAAAAAAAGACATGTGCATATCATGTTTCAATATAAATGTTTTTTCACTTGAAAACTTGGATGATTCTTTCTGATGAAGGTTTATGAAGCATCTTGCTTGTATCAGTTGATTATTAACGCTTGAGACTAGTAAAAGTTGATCTTTTATTTCAGTCAGTGGGTTGTTTTAATCTGTAATCAGTTAGCTGTTCTTTCCTATTTCAACCCTGATTCTATAGATTTATATCCATCACTTGATATAAATGCACCTATGTTCGCCCACTTTATATTGCTGGTTCATGTATTCTTTTACTTCACTTTGAAATTGAAGACATTCTATTTTTAATTTCAGTATAAAAAAAATTCAACCAGAAAAATGTAGATTATAAAGACACTGATACGTATCAGGATAAACGTTACGATTTAATTCTTGAATTTTCAGTTCGGTGTTGTACTACTCGATTGACGCATATGTGAGTGTCAATGGTTCAGTGTCTCTGTCTGTCTGTCTGTCTCAACATAGAACTTTGCACAGATGTGCAGCAGTTCAAGTCGCCACACTTCACTCAGCACACAAAGCAAGAGAAAGTAGAAGAAATGCATAATAGAGACAGTAGACAGGGACATGAGATAAAAGGAATAGTAATAACAAAGAACAATATAATTTCATTGGAAATTATAAGTCACAAGGAGTGGATGTATCTGCGCCAGCCATTGAGAACGATTTTGAGCCATATCACTGATTGTTTCCAGCCTTCATTGGTGTTTACCATACCGAGGACCCCAACCAGGAAGTCTACACTTTCCTACGTGGCTTAAACTAACTGTTGTGGATTTCATTGACTCATGAAGTCATGTTTTGGTTTGACCGCCGCTAGCTCTTTTCCAGCCTGACCCTATGTCAGCTATCATTGCCCTTTTTCGAGGAAGGCGATGGCTAGGCTAGGCATGAGTAACACATGTCCTAACCATCTCAGTCGATGTAGCTTCACAGCCTAGTCGATTAATTTCCCCTCCCACCTACCTAGCACTCTACCGATGCCTACCCTCAATATTGCTCACCCTATTATACCACTTCACACGGGAGATAGAACGCAGGCACCTATGATCGAAGACAGCTAGTCTTTTCATGTTTTCCACCCTCAGTGGCTAGGTCTTACAACCATAAAGGAGCACGGAATGCTTGCCAACTACACATGCAGTCTGGTGTTCGATTCGCGACCGACGCACTCACCAATCTTAATAGCGTGAAGCCTTATGTCCCACTCGGTACATGCAGAGGAATGAAAAAAAAATATGCGTGCGTGAATCAGTATGCACATAACCTCTTTTATTTAGCCTCACTCTGTAACACTATTCTGGTTGAATTGTTGCTTATAATCAGGTTATTTCATACATTTATTCCCCTTAGTGAATTTGAATAAAGCAAGAACAACAGTGGTTTGTACAGAATAAAATGGTACCATCGTTTATTTCTCATCAGCTACTTACAGTCGAAAAACATTAGTTGAGTATATCTACAGAAACAATTTTAAGAAACTTGCACAGAGTCCATTTTTAAACAGAAAATCAATATATGCATACACTGTTAATAATAATAATCACTCTATCCCAAACAGTAATAATCATACACAGTGACACCTGTCGACATTATTATTATTAGCATTGTATGCATATATTGATTGATTGATTTTCTGTTTAAAAATGAACTCTGTGCAAGTATGTTAAAATTGTTTCTGCAGATATACTCAACTTATGTCTTTGGGCTGTTAGCAGCTGAACTGATGAGAAGCCAAAGAAATAAACAATGATGGTACCATTTTATTCTGCAAAATCTACTGTTGTTCTTGCTTTATTCAAAATCAGCTTAATAATTAGATCATAAAATCATACACTGTCCATCTGTTTCACTTTTAATGACACAGATGTATGTATTCAGATCAAAGTGCTGAAGAGCTTCACTGATATTTTTATCTCCTGGCATCATTCTATTCATTTTGCTCATTTTTTATGCTCTTTGTCAAGTGTCACAACTAGGACTAATGTTTATTGTCTGTTAATTTCTTTTTCTACCCTACACTTTTTCCGGTTGCGGGGGGGGGGTGTGGAGTTATTGGTCTTATTTTAAAAAAACCTTTTGTGTATCATTTGTAGCTGAGCAATTGAATAAGTTTTGAATGTCATCACAGAATACAAAATCTTAATTTTACTCGGACACATTTATTTCGAGTGCTTTTCACTGTATTACATTCATGCTTGTATAGCGATTTAGGAAGAAACTTTAATTTATTTTGTTTTTCCGAAACAGAGTCGGTATCTCATTTAAGGTTCTAATGTTCTCTAATTTTATACTGCGACTAGTCACCTTTATTATACATTTGTAACGCAAGTTCCTAGCTTATTCTTCCGGATGACTTTTTTGTTAGTTAGCTTTTAGCAGTTGTATAGAGTGACGATAAAACATATCCCTTATTTTACCAGTATCAATGAACAAGTCTCGCTATTCTGTGGTAGTAAATGTTGTTTGACTGCTTTTTCCAGGCAGTAGACTTCAATGTTAAACAATACAGACTTGCTTTTTAATAGCTTCGTGGCAGTGTATGTGGTCTATTGCTTTAGTAACGCTCCGTTTTCACTTCTACATTCCTGGTCGCGCTTATTCAAAACGGTGTATTTTGGGGGAGATTGTGATGTGTGGTCACGCCCTATATATACATTTATATATGTCCTTTCGTTCTGTTTCTGACTCGTCAGTTAAATGTACCTGCAATCCCCACTGAGTGAGTGAACGATTGTGTTTCCACTGGAACTCGAATCCACAGCCCTTTATTTCAAATATCAAACTGTTATACACTAGGCGATGAGAGTCACCGCTTTGATGTTTGGAATGAAGGGTACTGGGCGTGTGTCTCAGTGGGAATAAAAGCAGTCAGTGTGGCTGACGAGTGGCAAATAGGGCTAAATGTACATGCTAGAATTCATTGTTAGTCACTATCCACCAAATATAATCCTGGAGTGTTTAAGAGTTGAAATCAAAAGTAGCTTATACGTCTGGTTTTATTTATGTTTGTACGACAGGTATGACTGATTTGTGTTGGTGTTATTTTCTTCTTCTTTCTCTCTTTCCTTCTCTCTACCCCTTTCATTTGTTTCTACCTTATCTCCATCCTCGTTTACTTTCATCTTGTGTTTATCAGAAATAACTGAGGAAAACACTCTCTAATTTTTTATTGTATTCACCATCGTAGATCTTGTGTTGCTGTTCAACGTGGAGTAGATGATAATTTTGCTGTCACATGGTATGTTCTGCTTCTTTTACACATATACAAAAATTATAATTCCAGTGAAAATAAAAGACTGTGGAAGTCGGAGTATGCAAATGATAATAATAAGTTCTCAAATATTTGGCATAATGCATTTGTCGAGTTGAGTAGTTCAATTAATTCGGATTATAAGGTGTGAAAATATCTATGTATGCTTTTTTTTATATCGCTTTAAGTATTTGATTTTGATTTGAAAAGAGGCCCACTGATATATACATATATATCTTCTTTGATGACAACAAGTGTGAATCTTCTCTGATGGAGGAAATTCCTATAATTTAGATTGAATGAGATAGATAATTTCTCCGTTCGTCGGTGGCACAGCGGTTAGGACTCTCGCCGACTATGCACATGGTCCAAGGTTCGATCCCCTACCGACGCACACCTGATATCAATTGGTTGGTTTGCAAAATTTGGGCTACCGATATCACATGCTGAAAATTCCATACTGGTACCAAGAATACAGTGTGGAATCAAGCTATAATAAAAAACAAAATAGGAACATAAGCACTTATAAAGAGTAGAAGATAAACGTTTTAATTTCATCTCTCTTCTCTTCAAACATGTGCGTTGTTGGTTCACTAGTGGGATGCTCGCCAACCACGCCTTATGTGATCCGGGTTCGATTCCTGGCCGATACACTTTGTAAACCTCGTTAAGTTGGTAGTAAGTTTGGTGAAGAGGGAAGGTTGGATGTGAGGCTAGAAACCCCATCCCGTAAAAACACAAAATCTGCTTAAACAGTGTCAGTTCATTGTAGAAACTGCCTTCTTCATATTATTAAAATCTTCAAGTCCTCCGAATTCGCATTTTTGTTACTAGATGTAGGCATTGTATGACTGCCGTGGTGTATCAAAAATGGGCACTAAATCAGTAAACAGTTTTGAATAAAATTCCAACACAATAATTCAGTGGTTTCTAGGGTCTTACCTCGAAATCTGACTACTCTGAGTTCGATTTCTTAATGAATTCCTAAATTAGGATAGAATTGATGTGTAGTGTTACTTGATTTTCAGTTGCCATTTAGCTTACATCGGTAATGGAAATATTTTTAATTTGATGTGGTTGTGTTCTCTAAGGTGGTTGGTTTGATTGTGAAGCTTTTATTTTCTTCCTAGACAACGTTTTCAGCGCGGCCTTCGATTGAAGATGCTGTCTAGAAAGACAATGAACGCTACTCATTTGAACTATCTGACTCAGAGAACACAAACCACATCGGAGTCATCTACCCAATGTACAAAACCTCTCTATTATTTTCAAATTATTTATTTACCCATATATATACTCTCCGGTAATAAATCTTTAAGTCCAGCTACACTGAACATTACTTCTCCCTCTCTGTTCTTTACTATTTGTTATGATTAATTTTTATCCGTTTGATTTTTTAAAAGCTTCTCAGAGGTGTACTGTCGACTTACGTATACAAATTTGATTGACGAATGAATTAGGTTCCCTTTTTTAAATAAGATTTTGTATTAACGTTTAACGCCATTGATTTTTCTCAATCGTGTATAATTCACAGTTTCATTTATCTGGCTAATCCTATTTCACTTAACTTTAAACCAGTCGAAATAGCATTATAGGTGTATTTATTTATGAATTTAACCTCATTTTTCTTTTGAATTTCGAAAGTCGTATAACTTTTCATTCATGTTCTTATTGTTTATTTAGTCATATTTCCATTTCCTTCAGTTGTTTCCGTTTACTAGTAACAGAGACTATGATAGCTTCATATAACATGAATTATATGGCTTATCGTTTTGTGGAGTTATACGCTTTCTACTGATTCTTTATTCGTACTCTGTCACTGTCTAAGGTAGGCAGAACAACTATCCACCCAATCGTTGTATTTTTTTTTTGGTTCGAAAACACATTGGCCTAAAATCTTTTATTTTTTCTTAAATAATTTACACTGTTGTAATCAACTCTATCACTTACTACTCCCGTATGTGTGGTGGTGTGGTTCATTAGCGTAAGCACTTGGTTTTCAACCTATGGGTCATGGGTTTGAGTCCCATTCCACTTACTTTTTCATGGGCAACTGCATAGTATTTTAACCCCTCACACGATAAGTCTGGCTCGTAAAGCTTGGTTTTTTAAAAGTCAGTTCCGTGTAATTGAGCTTAAGCATTCCCCAATATTGTGTTTTCTATGTGCGTTCTGTTATCTTATAAGAGATATTAATTCTATTCGTCAGACGTAGTGTTATGTAATTCTAATGAAGATTTTGTCACAAACTGAAATTAGTTACAGTATCATTGGAAACAAGTGAGCACTGTACAGCTGTTTCATCTCAGTTTAGGACTCTCCAACAGTGCTCATGAAATTTTTAAAATTTCTCCTGCTCAGTAATGGCTATCTAAGGGATGCCTTGAATTTTTAATGGGTGTGTTATGGAAAGTGAGGTTTACCACGTTAGATGTTAAGCCGGCACTGGGTTGTCTGTATCGCTATGTCTCAAATTGATAGGAGTTAGAACTCACAGGACATTAAATTCGAACCCATTTCCGTAATGCTCTAGAGTCGGTGGCACAGCGGTAGAATGCTCGCTAACCATGCCTCATGTGGTCTGCGGTTCGATCCCCGGGCAATGCACTCCTCTACCTCGCTAAGTCATTAATAAGAGTGGTAAAGAGAGAAGGTTGGGCATAAGGCTGGCAACCCCATCTCTTAAAAATAGACACCAATGCTACCGAAACTTCAGAGCTGTAGCTTGAAGCCCTATGTTCCACTGGGAATATAAAGGAATAAAAAATATCCAGAATGCTAAATAGACTGTCTTGGTAACTTGAAGGTTCTGGGTTCAGTCCCTGGTAAGGATGTTGGCACCCAACACTGGAGAGTCCTAAACTAGGACGAAATAACTGTGCCGTGCTCCCCGTTTTTCAATAATTCCATAAATAATATTGTTTCGTGACGACACTACATTATTATCATTACTATTATTATGGCTATTATTGATCACAATCAGTTCACTCCGAATGCAATCAAGTTTGCTTGATGGTTTCTGTGTTATTTTTTGAAAGGTATGCTTGTCAGGTCACTTGAGTGTTGTGTTATTCGGAGAGTGTGAGCAACTTATTTGCGTGTGTATGTGTTCATGATTTCTGGCATTACTTTTCCCTTTTCTTTCATCTTTTCTGAACACTGTTTCCCCTTTCAGCTTACATAATACAAAGAATTTTTTCTCAAAGTTTCCCATCACTTATTATAAAATACTTTTCTAGGTCATGCACTGCTGTTTCACGTGAAGTGGAAAATGAATTTTCTGTTAATTGGTAGGCAAATTATTCCTTTTTTATATATAACTAACCGTAATCTTCGTCTTCATGAAGTGTCAATAAACGTTTATGGATATCTGATTTGCAAATAGTGAATAGTAACAAGTGGAATTCTGTTCATGTAGAACTGGATACTTCTGGATCTGATTACAAGGTGTGTGTATGTATATGACGACATCTACGATGTTTTTACTGCTGAAGAACACTTTTTTGGAGTACTTCTTTTATTGGTATTCTTCTAAAATGACACATGGTTTGTATGCTCTTTGTCAGTCATTATCTTTTACTCAGGTGGATGATTTTGATGTGGTTGTGTTCTCTGAGCTGGATAGTTAATTTGCGAAGCTTTCATCGCCCTACTAGGGGACATCTTCAGCGCGTACTTCAATTTGAAGTGAGCTTTTAGATTTCTCCACGAGTTTATTAATCATTTCTCCTGGTGACCTTGGACGTGATTGGTTGTTTTTGTGTGTTTTCACACCTTCCAGGCTACTTGTATTGTAATATTAATGACGACACCAATAATAAGAAATCTAAATCATCAGTAGTAATTCCATACAAGGAAGGAACGTCGGAAGCCTTACGCAGAATTCTTAACAAGGCAGGAATAAAAATGGCATTCAAACCCACAAACTCAATTAGAAACAAGCTTTGTCGGTTAAAGGATCCTGTAGAGCCCTTAAAACAAAACAATTTAGTTTATCTCATACCCTGTAATGATTGTCAGGTCAAATACATAGAGCAAACTAGTAGAACAGGGGCAGTCAGACTAGCTGAACATAAAAACCTAGCAAAATCTCGATTGGCTGACCCGAATAAGATAAGAAATCTAGAGAATAGTTCAGCTATAGCACTACATGCAGTTACACACAACCACACAATAGGATGGGATAGGATGTCAGTTTCAAGATCTAATGTCACAAGGTGGAGGGAGAGATTGATAACAGAAGCTTTGTTTATCGAATCAACTGCGAGAATACATGTAATAGGAATGATTCATCACCTGTCCCCGATATCTGGAAAATTCTACTACCCAAACGACAAATAGGAGAGAACAAAGAAAACTATAAAACTCAAGTGTCAAAGTCGTGTGATTATAATTGATATGATTATGAACAATAAATTTTGTTCGAAACGTCATCCGGTAAATAATACTGTTTCACTGTGTGATATATCAAATAAACAAACTAATATGGAGTCTTCAGATTTACTTTTTTTTTTGTTTAATACTTATTTTAAACGTCGGTAAAATTAGATGCAAATATTGTAGATATGTGCTGAAAATTCCACACTGTACCACTAGTACTGTTTCTGGAATAAAGCAAATTATTATTATTATTATTATTATCCCACCTCACTCTCACTATATTGATATACCAACGTCTCAGGAACGAACAACATAAATCAGTCAATGATTACTGAACTTGTCCACCTAGACCTTTACTCCTTTCGGAGCTCCTGTTTTCACTAAACACGTAGGCTGCATCTTAAATTTCTCTACTTTCAGTAATCCAGTGACCTTCACATCAATGTCCTCTTCCTATAAAACCCCTAGATAACAGTTCATAAACGCTTGGGAACTAATTTGTGGATGTATTTTCATTTTGTCATCTCAAGTGTGTATTTAAATTGGCACTGCTTTAGAATAAATCTTGTATTCTAATTTGTGTTATTCATTTTATGCACTTCTGGTGGTCAGTCTGGGTTTAGCAGCACATATTCATGTCCTCTGGCTGTCTAATATTATTTTCACCTGGTTCTTTAACTGTGCACACGCCTTCACTTCCTCCTCACGTGGTCTCCTCTATGTCACAACCTGGTGTCCAGATTCTTGCTTCCCATCCAGTTTTCACTCGGC